CCCCAAAACCCCAAAACCCCAAAACCCCAAAACCCCAAAACCCCAAAACCCCTAAATTTCTAGAAATTTGAAGAATTATAAATAAATATTTTTAGCCAAGTTATCAACATGTTTTCAAGACTTTTCGTCAGAAGTGTTAAAAGTATTAAGGTATAGTTCTTCAAGCTGCTTAATGTCTAGACATGCAAGGTTCTTGCTGCTTAATATATTTTTTACAATATCCGATTTTTAGGTGAAATTTATTCTAAACCCCTTGATTTTACTCATATTTCTCTATAGCCAAGTACTGGGCTCAGAAGAATGCATACTTACAATAAGTTAGGCAAGCTGAAATCTTTCTACACTCAAAGGCCAGTGCAGGGATATTTGCCTAGAAGGACATTCTGGGGACAGCAGCCTCCCTCAGACTTTGATGTGACTAAAGACTACTACAAAATTTTGGGTGTTAGCAAAACAGCTTCGAAAGCAGATATCAAGAAGAAGTAAGACTATTTCTCTGAGATATAGGTACTTTGAATATGTAAAGAAGATGCATCCTGATAGAAACCCCAATGCTGATCAAGAGAAGTTTAAAGAGCTGACATCAGCATACAATGTCCTCTCAAATGAGAAGAAGAGAAAGGAGTATGACGATTACAGAAGTATGGCAGGACAAGGATTCCCAAACCCCGGCTCCTCAAGCTACAGTTCCAGCCAGAGTCCCTTCGGTGCAGGCTTCGACCCTTATGGTAAAAGTTCTTACTACAAGCAGGATTTTGATAGGAATGGCCAATATAAGAGATATTATTACAAGACAACTAGTACGAACCCTGAAGAAATTAGAAAGGAATTTGAGAAGTTCTTTAAGAAAGCTAATGAAGCATTCAATCAGAAGCAAAGACAAGGTCAAGGTCGAGGACAGACAAGATATAATTTCCATAATGCCCAAGGATTCGATGATTTCTCTAAGAAATTTTGGGAGACTTATGAAAAACAAAGGTAGCAGGAGCTTACTGATATAATTTTGGTTGATTCTGATATCTAGAATATTCTTAAAGAGTTTTTCTGTAAATTCATCAATTTTAATAATTATGATTGTGTAGGCAAAGCCAAAGAAATCAAAGTAACTCACATAAGAGCAGCTCACACCAAAGTGATTTTCACCAAAATAACTCAAACCAGAGTCCATTTAATTACCAATTTATGAATTTTGGAGCTCCTGTAAGGTTATTTTCTAACACTATAGTCAGCAGGAGTGTTGATTTTCAGACTAGTGAGGAATTTCATGATCATCTACTTCTTCATCTACCTCCTAAAAGTTGTACTGTTCGGATCATCAGCTGGTAAGCTACAATTATTAACCCTAAATAGCAACTAGAGCTTCAGGGTCAGATATGTATCAGTACCAGATAGCTAGGGATACATATGATAAGAAAGGATTTAGCCCAAATCAGGCTCCTAACTACTATCCTCCTCAAGGAGGTGTGCCTCAGTACCCTCCACAAGGCCATCCCCAATATGTCCCAGAGCATATGCCAAGAGCTGATGGGATGAATTACCAGAGATCTACAGGTAATTCCATCCAAAATTTAGGGATTCCTTAATATTTTTAGAACAAAGATTCTACGATCCCAGTCAAGATCCCAGATACAGATAATTTAGCGTAATTTTGTTAAAGATTTTGAAGAAATTTAAAATTTGAGGTATAAATGAGCCTCAGAAAGTTTATGAGGGTTTTTTGAACATTTAATGGTTCAAAATGTGTTGAGGAGAGTGAGGGACTAGAGGTACTGGGGAGGACAAAGCAGTAAGGGAAAGCGAAATTAGATAGATTATTTGGGTAAAGGTAGAAATATAATGTATTTTAGTTATTTTTGAATTTTGGTCACTGGAAATTGAGTTGTCTTACTTTACTGTTGTTTGGCTTTAATCACCAAATTTATCGGTGAGGAGGTCAGTTAGTTGAAACTATTTTGACTGATTCTCCAGTGACTCTCTATCAAATTTTAGAGTTACAATGTCATAAAGGATTCTTTTCTAATGATTAAACATTCTCAAAGCCATATATCGAAGGTATCACAATCAGAGAGACTCTTTTGGCTTTCTAAAAGTATAGATTTTAGTTTACAGAATATAATAGCTGAGGGTGAGCAAAATTATCAAAAATTCAACCAAAACATAAGCTAAAGGGGTTTTGGGGTTTTGGGGTTTTGGGGG